TCAAGCAAAAATATGTTCTAAATAGATGCAGATCCTAAAGAGGAAGGGGAAAGGCTTTCCAAGGGCTGATCTTTCTGCAGGCTCTCTGGCTGTTTGGCAGCCGCAGTTTGCTGCCTGGAGCATGTCTGAGTTTTACAGCTACCTACCTCCTCTTTGTTGGGGGATGATCTGAGAGGGGCTGCGTCGTGTTTTCCAAATGCACAGATATTGCACTGCGAGTAGGAAATGCTGGTTTCCCACCCTGTCAACATTCGTGACTCTTGAACTATAAACCAAAAAGTTTTTCTGAATAGAGCATGTATTTAATTCTGTTGTGACAGCCCATCTCTGTCGTGCTTATTTGCATACTTAAAATTACACTTAAAATAACTCATATGCTGAATTTTAAGTGATTCAGACACTACTGTGGTTTAAGCTGCTCATGTGTGGACCCTGACAGTAGGAGGAGGGTGTTGGGGGGTCCATCTTGCACAGCTTTTTATGCTGATGAAACCATTTAATGCTAACATGCTTTTGCTTTTATAAGGTATTTTAGCTTTAACCACTTCAGTCCTGCAGTCTCAGCTGCCCTGTGTCACTAGAATTTCTTCAGGATTTGAATGAAACCTCAGCCCTTTGGAGAACTTCAGAGCACAGAGCAAAAGCTAAGCACTTAACAGGTATTAGTCTAAAAGGTCCTTCTGTTTTACTAGCTGTAGTTACACATTTAACAGGTAACTTTCTATTGCAATTTACATTTATGTGTACTGGAAGCTTATGCCTTTGTGTGCTATTTAATTTAAGAGGATTTTCTTCTATTTCTCTTAATTAGGGGCATTGTTCTGCTAAAATTAATTCGACTATCAGTTCGGGTAATTCAGTGGATATTACTAGCTTCCATTTGTTTGGTTCTTCTAATCCAAATTCATTCCAGTCCTCTTAAAATCTTTACTTACTATGCAAATTAGGTATGATACATGTGAGAATGAGTTTGTCTTCCTGTGAAATGCAGCTATTTCTCAAATAAAACATACTAACTGCTTCTAATATTTGCATGAAGAAAATAATAGGGTTTTTTCCTACCTAAGTATAGAATCAGTAAGTACCTGATATTAATTTTCTCTGTCTTGAAAGACAAAGAATCAGCATCTAATAGAAGGTATCTGCTTACCAGTCTCAGCAGATGTGTATATTTATGTGCATACACATATTTAGGTATATGCATGCATCACTGCCAGGTTTTGGTGACGGCAGTGCTGTGTATGCAAACCCAGGTATCTGAAAGCAAGCCAGAATCTGCCTGGGATCACAATAACAAGTATGTACATTCAGCCAGTGTTTCTGAAAATACTTCCCAAAATACAATTGCTATTTCCAGCCCTTGGGAGCCACAGGATCCAGAAATACAACAAGCCTCTTATATAACTCACCTTATTGCTATTGTGAGTCAAGCAGCAAGGGGCAGATTATTTTTTTTCAGGGTGCTATAGGTGTTTTATTTGGTAACATGTTACTTGATAAAGAAACGATTAGGCTAATTGAAGGAAAAGCTAGACAGAAATAGGTTAAAGAGGTCTTAAAGTACAGCTTAAAAGAATTAAATCTGGCGGTCTTTATTTAGCAGAGACAAAAATAAACATCAGGTTAAAAACAAAGGACAATGACAGGAAACAAAGGGTGTAAGTAGCACCACGCTAGAAAAGCAAAAGATCCACTGATATACCATATCTTTTCTAATATCTAACTCCTAAAAGGAAAAAAAATGTACACATGTGAACATACAGACATACCTACGGATGTATGATATGTTTAACACTTCATTGTCTTTTCCAATTTATCTGTCACAGGCAACTAAAACAAAGAGAAAATTATTGTGCATTAAATGGATATAAATAATTTTTCACTTGACCTATGGGCTTGATTTAAAGATGCAGACTCCCCAGCTCCACTTGGTTTTGCCCCCTTACTCTCCATAACAGTAGGAAAACAAGCTAATATTATTATCAGGTATGCTCCCAAATTGCACTTTGATATGATCAGTCTCATAATACCTTAGTTCCCCCTGGCATGGCAGTTCTACATGTGTATTTATTATTTGCATTACCATAGTGCTGCAAGAGCCTGATATGGATTGGGGTCAACACTGAGAGCTTTACAAAGGATGAAATGAGAGAACTGAGGAATCCGGGCAGGATAGGTAACATAATGAACTGTGACCCTGCATTGCAGACATTACAGGAAGGAGAGGTTTGAAGAAAAATTACCAGCAACTTTTGGGCTGTTTATAGGATCTTTTCAAATAAAAGGCAGCCAAAGGAATGCACAGAAGAACCTGTTTAAAGGTATTACAAGGCTGTGAGAACTGGCATCGTGAGCTGAATGGAGCTGTAGTTAGATGTCAGCAGGGAATGGCAAGTAGACAGGCTACTGAGACCTTCCAAGGTAAAGACATGTAGGTAAGAATCCACAGGACAGAGTAGGCTGAGTTAGCACACGGATGGAAAGAGTGGAATAACATGGTGAAAATGACAGACTAAGAAAAATGGTCACTGTAGCAGCATTCTCAATGAGTAAAACAAGGTTATATTTTTCAAGGCCAAAGGAAAGGATGTTGCAGTAATTGAGATTTGAGAAGATGGGAGTTTAGCTATATGGACAGATTTAGACATAGTCTGACCATAAAGGGCTAGGGAAAGGTCTGAGTCAAAGATGATTACATACAGACAGATAATAGCGTAATAGATAAAGTAGAGAGTACTTGTGGGAGAAGGCTTGACACTATTTTAACTGTACTGAGCTGAAAATGACATTAGCATTGTCAATTAACCAGTTTTTATCCAGATGGTCCAGGGATTGGAGGCTGGAGTATTTGTGTGCCGTCTGGGCTGATTACAACCCAGGCACCATATCCTGCAGTACAACAGAGCGAGGACCAGGCTCAGAAATAGAGACAGCCTAAACATCCCCGAACCACGCTCACACACCAAATGTTAATAAAGCATGCTCTTGCAGGTTCAAATAGTTACCAGGGGAATCATCAGTCAGGGGACTCAAAGCACATTTCTTTCAATTCACATCATCTTCAGTCGTCTGACCACGCAGGTGTGGGTCTCAAGGGGTGTTTGTGACTGTGTGAAAAGGAAGGTGAAGTCCCACAGAAGAGTCATAAGATAAGAAGGTACCAGAGATATAAGCTAAGAGTTTATTTATGAAAGCACGTCAATCTGCAATGAAGAGGCATAGCTGGGAAAAAACTGAGTGGAAAATGTTGTTTGGGCTGTGGTTGTAGTACACATTACCTTGGGATAAAATGTGGATTAACTAGAGCAGCGACCCAAGGAGAAAGGCCTGGTTAATGTCTACTGGAAGCCAGAAGGCATGTAAGAAACAGTCCCTCAAAAATGTGCCAGTAGGTGCATTAGAAATGTAGGAGGATAAAAAAGGAGAGGTCGGTCACTGAACAAGGGCGGAGAGAATTTCACTTCACAGATTCAGGTAGAATAATAGTTGTGATCATTAGAGGTTATATGAGCAAGAGGCTGTTTGAGACTTTATCTTTTGAAAGAAATGCAAAGGGAAGAAGCCAAGTTGGAAAAGATCTAGGACAAAATTACCGGAAACAAATTTATGAGAACATTTGTGAAGAGCACTTTTAGTGATCTGAGTCATGAAGTGTCAGAAATGAGCAAGGAAAAAAAATCTTTCAGTTTCCATGATGTCAGAGAAAAGCTTTAAAACATGATTTGAATGAAATCTTGAATGAATGAGCAAATAAGAAGGATCCTCTGTGTGTATACATACACATATGCGTAGACCTGTATATATAACTGCATATATATATGTATATGTATACACCCATACATGATTTATAATTTACAGTTGAAAATACAACACTGGAATCAAGCAAAGCAAGACTTCAAAAACTACATCAGTGAATTTTCTAGCTGATGTTTGCTGAGAGGATGATGTCAAAAGCAAAGGTGTATCATACCAGAAATCAACAGACAAAACTGTGTGTGTGAGGGAGGTTGAACTAACATTTCATCTCCTTTTGTTCACTGCTTGGTTCTGCTGCTTATTAATATAAAACACATAGTTCCATGCTTATTGTACAAAAATATGTTTCGCTCCAGAATAATTTTTTTCCATCATAAGAGGCAGCAGCCCAAATCCCTTGTGGTTTTTTGGGTTTAATTTTCTAAAGTTTTTCGAATTCCAGATGTAAATTGTTGATAGTAAAGAAGATACCTAAAAGTAATGAATAAAATTGTTGTTAAAATGATTGTCTCGTGGCTCCTTCTGAAAGTACAAATGCATGGCTGAAGTGTCTGGTACAAAATGCATGGTTCACCTCTAAGCGCCTTTAGCTCAGAGTCAGCTCTCCAGATGATGTAAGTATTTATTCATAGACAAAAAATAACTGCCAAAATTAAACTGAAGAAAGACTTTTTCAGGAAGACATAGAAAAACAGAGGTGATAGTTGTTGGTATGACACTTGTGAACTGGTAGGAGACATTATCCCTCCCAAAGGAGCCAGTGGCAGCCCTGTGCTGGTGTGATGGGACACTGCTGAGGCTGAGATTTGCCTTAAACTGAGTATTGAGTTCCTAATTGTTCGGTATCCGAAGGGACTCAAGGTTACTTTTTGTATTGTATTATTCCTCTTATTTTTTCTTTGATCAGCTCTTCTGTGGTATCCAGTCCTGTGAGCAGGGAGGAATTACCCTTCCACTGGCAGGGGAACAACTTAGGGTAGGTCACACCTCTGGAGAAGCTGGACATTGTTGTTCTGTAACTCAAAAATATGTTTTATAACATCAAAAAAATGCATGGCAATATCACAAATCCCCTTTTCCTGAGAGCATGGAGCATCAGACAGCAGAGGGTCCCAAATCCCACCGTGCCCTCCAGACATCCACAGCTACTCCCTTTACTGTGATAGTGGCCATTTCATAAAGAATTTTTATTTAATTTTTTTTTTCAATTTTAT